GGAGAAATTGGCCTCAATCATCTGGCTTCCTGGTTCATCCCATTGGTGAAATCTGTGCAGGCCCAGTCCGATGGTGTAGGACCTGAGGGCAGTGAAAGTCAGTACCATAGTAACAAATCCTTTCTTCAGGCCAAACTCCAGTGCAGGCCCACATCCCATACTAGCCTCTCCCCCAACTCATCCTCAATGTCAGTCCTTTTGGAGACCACTAGAAAGTGGCTCTGAGCAGGATTTAATATTAACCAATTCGCTTTCCACGTTTACTTGTGAGTTGTCTGAAGCTTAGGAACCCTGTCTGGGGATGGGCAGTGGACTCATAGTAAGTAAACCTCTATGAGTCACTGGTCACCTCTGAGGCTTGTATTGGCCTGTGAAGCTGTGACTCCTCAAAGGACAACATAAGGCCACAGCTGAGGACGTTTGGCTCCAACCGCAATTAACTACAAGGAGACTGCAGCTGCAGGCTCCACACTCCTGCAATAAACACCAACCTAAAAATAAGGTAGTTCTCCTGACTGACATAATTTATTACTTGGAAAATTCTCCCAAGGGCCTGCTAGATTCCCACATTTTCTTGAGTACCCTCCTCCTTTTTGAAAACTAAATAAATGTGGGCTGCCCAGAGAAGTCTTTTTTCCAAACCCAGAGAAGATCTAAGGTGTAAGGGAGTTAGACCCTCCTGGGGCCCTGAAACCATTTCAGTTGTCTCATTTATTTAAGCCCTCACTGTCCACTGGCTTGGGAGATTGCGGGCCTGATCAGCGTGCAATAACTAAGGGATTTTTTGCACAATAAGTTCAATCTCTATTCCCATTCCCATCCTGTAACACATGTAGACCCATCCCTGGTGCCAGCCCCTCACCCAATTCAAAAGCGTCCAAATCCCATCCTGATCCCCACTCCCAACTTCACCTTAGATCCTGACTATTAGGGTTGGAGTAAGAAAGGCATTGTTTAAGGTGTAAATTTAGGGAGCCACTAATGTAGAGAAACCAGGATGAAGAGTGTTTCAGTATAATATTTTTAAATTTAAAGTTAATGCAGAAAGTTCACTGTGCACAAAATATCAGAAATATAAAGGAAGACAGCATTTGAGATGCAACTCAGCCTAGCCCCACACCTGCAAGATTCTGTTTATTTCGAATGTGGATATTTTGATCATCACGGATGTTTGCATTGTATTACTTTGCTTAAAATAAGACATTGAGATATTTCTCCCAGTGGGTGAGCTTTTGCCTCATCTCTCCCCATACACCTCCCTGCAGCCACATGCCTACCTCGGTCCCCATCCACTTGGCTGTCTTCACCTGTCTCCCTCGCCTTGCCCCATGTCCCTTACCCCTGGTCACAAGAGGTCTCTTGCCCACACCACCTGGCTCCTAGAGGCTGAACTGAGATCCAAGCCTGCCTCTCTCAAGCCATCTCCTCCTCTGCACTTTCATACTTGCATCAACCCCAGGGTCCTGAGTGGATTCTCTTGCCACATGTGGGATCCAACAGACTCAGGAAAGAGATATGAATGTTCCTCCAGCCTGGGGAAGTGGTTCTCCCAGCCAGGTCTCCCCTTTGACTGTAGCTCTAGGCTTGCTCCAGGCCTAGTGTTTCAAAGTCTCATCCCCGGTCATGTCCAGCTTCTGGAGCTGGGGCTCACCCATTGTCCCAGGCCCTCTGCAGGGTTGGAACCGCACTCTGGGCCAAGACTCGCCCTCTCTCCTCAAACCCATCTTGGTCCCTGACCCTAACTGCAGTGCAAGGTCAGACTCTAAGCACTGCCCATAACGCCCCAACCAATAGAAGAACCCCCCCACACTCGGGCTGGGGAAGGAGTGTCCACCTGGGCTAGCTGCCCCCGCCCCCCACTGTCATCACTCTCTGCCCTCACTCACCTCCTCCAGCAGTGTGCAGCTGACAGCACCCACTGCTGATGCACCAGAACTCCAGAGCAGTACAAAGTGCCATTGTAGAACAGCGCCACTTGCCAGGGCTTCGAGTGTGGAATGCATTCATAGCCACCAGAGATGCATTTGCCGACCTGGTGCAGCCCATCTTGGAAATGACTGCTATTCTTTTTGGGAGGAATCTCTGCTTCTGCACACAGGATGAGCACACAGTGGAACCGCTGGCTGGGTGGGATCCGGTGGGATCCAGTAATTGATCAGGTAGGGGATGGGTGGGTCAGGATTAGGAAGGCACAGGTTATATCAGGAGGGAGAAGGTGGGGCAAGGTCTGAGGCTCCACCTTGGGGGCTCAAGCAGGACAGTTCCAAGGCCAGACTCCTCCTCTGAGCCTGAGACTTCACACTGTGCTCCACACCCCAGTAGCATAGACCCAGTGTCAGCACACATGCCCATTTCCCCAGGAGGGGCCTCTGTGTCAAGCACAGGACAGAGGCCACCTCGCCTCAGATTATGTGTGCTGGACACTGAGAGTAGACAGCTGGCCACAGAGCATAGTCCCTCAGGGAACACTGCCTGGGCTCCAGCCCTCTGCAGGGCCACCTTCTCCAGGGGCTCAGGAGCGGTGTCCTCCACAGGTAAGGAGGCAGCTGCCACACTCCTCTGCCAGCTGGGACAGAAGGCCCATGCACAGTGCTGTCCCCGTGCTAATTACAGCTAACATCTTGGCATTCGCCTATGGGCCAGAGTCTGGGGAAGATGTGTGTTTACAACGTATTATGTAACCTGCTTACAGATTACCATGGGAGGTGGGGAAACTGAGGCACAGAGACATCAGGGGCTCTGTCGAGGTAAGAAGTAGCAGAGCAGGGCTCTGAATCCAGTCCCTGCCTCCACCTCTCCACAAGCTGTGTTTCTACCCTGGTGCCATGCAGACCCCCAGGGGGCCTATGGGTGGGGCAGGAGGACATATTTTGGGTGCACACAGGCTTGAGTGCACCCTGAACTCAGATACCTGCAGCCGTGTGGATGATGCATCCCAGGACACAGAGCCAGAGGACTTCTGCTGTGGTCCCCATGTCAGCACCTGCGGGGGAGGAGACCCTGTGACTTTGCAACCTCCCCCATCATTCCAGGAGCAGTTAGACAGGACCCTGTCCAGCCTGGACTCTGAGACCCTTGCTGAGGAACTGTAACACAGGGCAGAGTTTGTCACCCTCTGTCTTGCTGATATTTATCCATGATCTGCGAGGGATGGACTCAGGACATCCCCAGGCTTGCAGTGCCACAGAGCCATCCTCCTGACCCCTGATGACTGGTGGCTGGTAGCCTTTGTGCATGATCCTGCCCTGTGTACTGCAGGGAGTTTTACACCCTGTTCCAGCTGCCTGCCCTTGCCTGTCCCCATAGGGACAACCAAAAGGCCCATTCTTCGTCCAGGTCCTGGGAGAAGACAGTGTGAGCTCTACCTGTGAGGATGGAGGAGGAAAGGAAACAGGAATGAGAGGCAGTTAGGGACAGAGATAAAGATAGAGACACCAAGACTGAGGCTGAACCCTGGAGCAGGGAAGATAGGGCCCAGGCACAGAAGTCTCAGGTCATGAAGCTGAAGGAGACTGAGATGGAAATCAAGGTGCTCTCAGCACAGTTTCAGGCGCAGCCTTGTGCCAGGCATCGCACTAACACGAGACACGCGGTGACTCACTGTCACAGCCATCTCAGGTGCCAGGTCCTGATATGATCCCCATTCCACGGAGGGTGCAGACACAGACAGGCTGAGTAACAAGTGGAGAGGGCACTAGAGTCTGTGCTCTTAAAACCTCCCTGGGACTGGGCACGGTGGCACCGCCTGTAATCCCAGTGCTCTGGAGGTAGGAGGATCTCAAAACCCTCCTGTGCACTGAGTCATAGAGATGGTCTAAGCCGGAGACAAGCGAAGGACACACACTGAGGGGGACAGAAACAAGAAAGAGCCGGGATCTCAAAGGGCGGGAAACGTAGAGCAAGGCTTGGGCTGAAAAAACGCAGACAGGGTCTTTCACCTGGCTTCAGCTCCTGCTATATCAGGGTATGGCCTCCTGCTTGCGGCTGGACTCTGTGTGCTGCTGCCTCTCAGCGCTTTCAAGGGTCTTGACAGTATTGGAATGGGGGCGGGCTGCCCTGGGGCTGCTGAAAGGTTACAGGTTGAAGGTTGAAACATCAGTTCCTGAAGGCTGAAAGATTAGAGTCCTGGGCGCAGCGCCCCTGCCTGTCCTGCTTCTAATCAGATCAGAGCACAGGAAGCAGGGCTCTGGGCCCTGATGAAGGAGGGGAGTGTAGGGTGGGACCCTGAAGGAAGTGACCGCTTCTGGCCGGTCTCTCAATCTCTCTGTCTCTCAGTTCTGATGCTTCCAATCCACTGCTCTTTGCTACTTTTACCCTCTTGTCTCATGGACTTTCTGCTTTGGATTCCTTGCTTTTGAAGCTCTTTCCTGTATATTAAATCTACATTAAATTAAGCAAATGTACATGAAATCGAGGCAATCTGTGTCTCTCTGTGTGTGTGTGTGTGTCCCTGATTGACTCCAGCATCTTCTTGCTGAGCTCCGTCCCAAAGCATCTTTTTTCTTTTTGCATCAAAGTCTTATTACGTTGACAAGTTGTGCATGCTGGGCTCAAACTTCAGAATCTCCTGCCTCAGTTTCCCAGAGAGCTGGGATTACAGGTGTGCGGCACCACACTCTGCATATTTTTCTCTCCTAGGCAGAACCAGGCCTGGTGCACACCCCCAGCTCCGGATCCAAGCCACATCAGATCCTTAATTCTTGAACCCACCCCAGATGGATTTGTACATGCCTTAGACTGTGAGCTAGCTTTTTATTTTGCCTGATGTCTCCCTGGGTCATCTTCTTTTTCCTCTAAAAAAAGTGAGCTATGATTTACATACAGTCACATCTGCTCTTCTAGGTGACAGTTCTACAAATTCTGACCTTTGTAGCATATGTAACACACACACAGCCATCAAGATGTGGTGTTTTACATCTCCCACACACTCTCCCTTGCCTCTTCAATCACTGGGTCCTGGCAACCATGGGCCTGTTTTCTGCCCCATCACTGGTCTTCTTGAGAATCATGGAAATGGGGTCTTACTGTGCAAGTCGGGGTGTGGTGCCCTTGAGACCCTCCCCGTGTGTGTACCATGCCGCATCTCCATTCCACATGAAGAGGTCTCCACGGTGTGGACAGACCTGTTTTCCCCTCCTGGTTTTTGTATCACTCGACCCGTTTGAACACTGCCAAAACTCTGATCTAAATAAACCTCTTGTCTTCACAAGTCACCCAGCCTTGGATATTTTATTACAGCATTGGAAGACAGACTAATACAAGGGTTCCTGATCCTACCTCCTTTCACCTGGGCTTCCCTGTGTGCCTGTGGATGGACATGTTGCTTCCACCTGACCGAGGTGTGTCACTGTGCCATAGGGGCCTTTGGCTGTCTGTCTTTTCCTTAGAGCATAGACTGCCACAGATGCCCTGCTGTGGGTCATTGTGTAGCACTGTATGTGTCCTCTCCGAGCAGAGGAGACCCTGGAGATAAAGGTCGGGAGCCGAGGCAGTGACCAGGTTCTTATCTGTCCAGGTGAATTTATGTGACGTGAATGACCCACCCCTCCACATGCTGGAGTAGTAGTGAAAAAATCACCACAAAATATCTTAATTAAAACTGCTAACAAGCTGCGTGTGGTGGCACACACCTGCAGCAGCAGTGCTCTGGGAGGCAGAGGCAGGTGGGTGCCAAGTTCGAGCTCAGCCCGGGCCACTTAGCAAGTTAGTGAGACCATGTCTACAAATGAAAAAAAATGAAGAGGACCAGCAGGGTCCATCAGTGCATGGGTCCTGAGTTCCGTTCCCAGTTTTACAAAAACAGAAACAAAGGAAAATACTATATGTATCAATGGGAAACAAAAATCAATGCCTCACAATAAATGTAGTCATTATGTCCTGAAAACTTGCACTAATAAACACAAAAATTGAGAAAAATTAAAAGAAGACAGAGCTGGAGCTGACTTGTTACATAACATAGGAAAACGTTTTGCTTCACCTATGCTGTCAGCACTCAGTGTTCCATGGCTAAATGTGCAAGTGTGCAGGGCTCCCAGCGGCAGCCACATCTTGCATACCCGCTGAGCCCCTCAGGTCCATTCAGCTCAACTCAGCCCCAGCTCAGTGCAGAGTTGGAAGTGGAGCGCGCTGTGAAGGCTGTGACCCAGGTCCCGCAGGCTGAGGGCTCAGGGCCCCAACACCGGCCCAGCCTGGCAGGCCAATCACAAGCCCCCATTGTCACCTGCCCTTCTGACCCACCAGCCATAAATCTGCTTCTGCATCCCAGGCCCAGGCATCTGTTAGCCTGGTTCACAGAACTTGAGGAGACCCTGACACTTTCTGGTGTATTATTTAATAAAGGGCAGGTGAAAGGGTACAGCTGAGAGCACAGTCATGAGGTCAAGGGTGGGGCCAGGAGGGTAACTGCACAGGGTATGGCTGCTGTCCCTACAGAGCTGGGCTGGGCCTTTGTCCCCCTGGCGACCCTCAGTGTTTCCTGAGCTCCCATCACCTTGGCCTGACTGGCTCCTGACTCCATTGACAGCCCTGTCCATCCTGAGAGGATGGGTAAAGGCCGGGGTCCTCACCATGGCCCATCTTGCTGTGCTTCCTGAGTCTCCTCATCATTCAAATATGTTCCTGTTGTCACTTCTGTGTGTGGGGACTTGCTTTAGAGATAAGGGGACAGCATGAGATGACAGGCACCAGCCTTACCTGCAAGCTGTGAGGTGATAAGGAATTTTTTTTCTTATTTCTCCCTTTAATATCTTCTCTTTGTGTTGGGATCCCATGGTCTAGTATATGTGTAGTTGAGGACATTTATTATCATACTCTGCATACATTAGGCTGCTATAGTTACATTTGCCTGCAGTTTTACCCTGATCTCAACACCATTTTTCTCTCTGGACTCTTCCCTTTGCAGGGCTGTTCACTCCATCCGCTGGTACCTGCTGGTGTGGGTCCTTGCTGTGGTGAGGATGGAAATAGAACTAAAACAACAGCATGAATGTACCGGCAAGGGCTTTAGTTATGAGTAAGAGAAGATGGTCAGGCTGTTAGCTTGAGGCACTGACAAACATCAAGTGGATCCTCTGACAAAGGAGAGTAGGAGGAGCCAGGGCAGAGGTTTCCACTGGAGAAAGGGAAGTGTCCGTGGGTCTGAAGAACTGGTCATTCTGGCACATAGGTGTGCTATGGGCTGGGGTGTGGCTGATCATTATCTCAGTCTCATTGACCATATCAGTGGTAAAGCTTCCCATTTTTCTCTGTGAAGTATTATGTTTGTGCTGAATCTTAATCATGTTGAGGAAGTCTCAATCTATGCTTAGCGTGCTAGATTTTTGGGTAAATATGTACCAAAGTCTGTTGACTATATTTTATTTTATTTATTTTAAAAATAAAAGGAAAATATTAACAGACAGACAACATTTTACAAAATAGCAAAGGAACAGTACAGACAGTACAGAGTTACAAACAGAGTGGTAGGGAATTAACAATGCCTGTTGTATTACATATTGCTATCTTCAAAGTGGTTTCTCATGAAAACAGATAGAGACATACAAAGCTGATCAACCAAGGACTCATTGACAGTTTCTTTCAGCAAAGAAATACAAGACAGTAGAACAGCCATGTTAACTATCCTGCATATACATACATACAAACTTTCTCCTTCTTTCCCTTCTCTTTTCCCACATCCCAGTTGCCCTTTACCTTTGAGTGCTTTCCTATCAATTCACAAAGTCTATCATATCTCCTAGTTTAAATTAACTCTTTCAGGTTTTACACTAGAGAAACAATGCGGTGCTTGCACACGTATGTTTGATTTATTTCACTTATGAGTATGGCCTCTAGTTGTGACCATTTACCTATAAAAGCCTCGAGTTTATCTTTCTTTACAGCTGAGTAATATTCCATTATATAAAAGGTCCATTATATAAAACACCTCCCTATTTGTTCGTTCTTGATTTTGGTAGTGTAGCAAGTTGCATTTTTGATG